CGCGTGTGGACGGGTCGAGTCGGTGTTGGTACTAGGGAGGAGGGGAAGGTTGATCCAAAGTAGGGAGATGGGTGTAGCAGAACTTGACCGCCGTGGGGCGGATGAGAATGCGACGGAGACGCGTCTGCCGTGGCTTAGAAGTCTACGGTAGGACTATCTTTAGAGGTCCTACTTGCCTTTGCCTTATAATAATAACAACCTACTTTTACGTTTTGCAGTGGCTCGACTTCCCTTTTTTCGTTAAATTCCGCCAATATAACGTCAAATTTGCATGAATGGGCCTCAGTTGCCTGAACAACAGGGGTTTATGTTGATGGAGTTGCTTATATTTAGCTCATTAAAACAACTATGTGTGGCTTTAATTTAATTTAATTCTTTAGCCACTTTCAGCACCATTAACTATTCATTTACATTCGTAGACCAAGAATTAAATGCTTAACCACCGATTCTGTAAGACAGTTGGACGGGGGAATAGATATTTAGGCGGCTCTACGAGACCGGTCGCGGGTCGGAGCATCGGGTGATGCACCATCTGGAATTTGGGTATGGTTAGCTGGTGATGTCTAACGAGCCGGAAAGCAGTCATTCCAGTCTCCCTTGTCTTTACCGGCAATGGTCACCTGCCTACAATACTAACCCCCTGTGCGGCTGCGGGTGGGGTTCGAGAGTAAACGCCAAAGCAGAACAGAACAACGCGTGCATTGCGTTAGCAATCAGTGAGCATTCATCAGCGAGTGCCACCTCAATCCATCTAGTTAGGGGCATTCACCCCTCGCCGAAATCATCTTGTCTTAAAATGGGGACAAGATTGGTTGACATCTAGCCCCTTTTCAACAACGAGTCCGGTTGGGTCCAAGGCATCAAGAGCATCTCGAATAAAGTTTCCTGTGTTTGTTGACGCACGGGACACGTTTTTAAAATCATTTTTGCAGTTGAAACTGCGTGGTACTGGGCAATGGTTAGATGCCTGATTCCGTTTTTTTTCCTAAATTCAGCAATAGTGAAGTCCAGGCTACTGTCTAGACGCCTCCGAAATTATTTATTTTAGTCGTTGAAGAACAAGGGGTACCGTTAGAATTCACCTCAACTAATGTCAGTATTCGCCAACTAAACCGGCAAGACAACCAGCCCATGGCTCAATGGTGATGCCATCAGACTTATGATCAACAGTTAACGGGTTCGAGCATCGGGTGATATACCACCTGCAGTTGAGTATGATGTTGGCTTATGAGCCATAAATGCCCATTTCCTTCTCCCTTCTTTCCGACAATGCTATCGACCTAAACTACTAACCGCCGTGCGGCAGCCGTCAAACAGGAACGAGCGATTTCCATTAGCATCATCAACGAATGGCACCTCAATCCATTTAACATAAGCATAAATCTTCACTGCAATCACCTCGTCTTAAAATGGTGAAAAGTGGTTAACATCCAGCCCTTTTTGAACAACAAGTCCGGTCGTGTCTAAGGCATTAACAGCACCTTGGGTAAAGTCTCTTATGCTTGTTGACGCACGGGACACATTTTTTCGACATCGCTGTCAAGTCTTGACGATAAAGAATAACCGTAGACGTGGACCAGGAGGATGGACTGTCGGCGTAGTTTTGCGCTGTTGAGCAGGCTGGTAAATAGGTCTCACCCTGACCGGTCCGGTCGGGTCCAAGGCGTTAAGCGCATCTTGGATAAAGTTTCCTGTGTTTGTTGACGCACAGGACACATTATTATCATTTTTCCATATCTGTGTCAAGTCTTGACGATAAAGAATGGCTGCTGTGGACGCGTGCACTTTCATTGGAGGAGGGCATGCTCTGTCGGCGTACAGTACGCAACAGAATTCGTGCAACATGCCGACGTATGCGAAAGATTGATACTCTTTCGCTAATTGGCACTGACTCAGGTTGTGATACTGATTATCCTGTAGTATATTCTGAAGTTATTTCAGTAATGATAGGAGTCCGGCTTTTTAACGAGCTTACTTCTGACCGCTAACAAAATGTATATGCTGTAAGAGGTAACTACTTACACAGCATGCGTTTTTATCATTGATTTTGATTGCCTTTATAAATTCAAATATATTTTATGGAAAACGTATACGAAAATATATCTATTGTACTCATTTGGCAGCAATATACGCCTTCTTTAAATTTTATGCTTAAATAAAGGGTATCTTTCGGTTTCAAAAATATTTCTAATTATGAGCTTTTTAACGATTGTGAGGTGTTCCTTCATAATACATCGTATCCGTCAAGTAATTTATGCTGCCTATAATGTGTAAGGCATGTTCCACACCTATCGCAACATTTTATGAGAACTCTGTGACTTCTTGCTCAAACTGTAGGCGAAAACGTACTTTTCCTTAAACAGGATGTACACAGTGCGCAGTTTCTAAACCTTTAATTCGTGTGTAACAGTCAGTAGGTTTCCAAATTATTCAGCAATTTAGAAACTTTTTAAAGACCGAAATGAAGGCGTAATTGTCTACCAAACGAGTACAAGGAATATTTTTTTGTTTATGGTTTCCATAAAATATATTTGAATTAATAAAGACCGTCAAAATTAATGATAAATACGTATGCTATTTAATTATTCAGTTTGTACAATATATACGTTTTGTTAGCGGTCAGAACGAAGCGGTTAAGAAGCCCGCATCTTATTATGACTGAAATAACTTCAGAATGGACCACACGATAATCAATATCACAACGTGAGTCAATGCCGATGAGCGAAAGAGTATCAATCTTTCGCAT